TTTCGTCATGAAGTTACTGCGAACTCCAAAAGGGTATGATGCCATATGGGCTATAGTAGATCGTTTAACTAAATCTGCACACTTTCTACCAATTAAGAAGAATTATCCTTTAGAAAGGTTGACAAAGATTTATATTCAGGAAACTATGACTCGTCATGGTGTTCCATTATCAATCATCTCAGATAGGGATAATAGATTTACCTCAAAGTTTTGAGAGAGTTTCCAAAGAGCTATGGGATCTCAGGTCAGATTAAGTACGGTGTTTCATCCTCAAACAGATAGGCAGAGTGAAAGAATGATTCAGACCCTTGAAGATATGCTAAGAGCTTGTATTATTGACTACGGGGGATCTTGGGAAAATCATCTGCCTCTGATTTTATTTTCTTATAACAATAGCTACCATTCAAGCATCGAGGCGGCACCGTTTGAGGTTTTGTATGGCCGAAAGTGCAAAACACCGTTATGTTGGAATGAAGTGGGGGAAAGGTAGTTGGCTGGTCGAGAGATCATTCAAATAACTTCTGAAAAGATAGATCAGATACCATAACGAATTAAACCAGCTCAGGACCGACAGAAAAGTTACGATGACAAATGCCGCAAAGCGATTGAATTTCTAGTAGAAGATTTTGTAATGTTAAAGGTTTCTCCTTGGAAAGGTATTGTTTGATTTGGAAAAATAGGTAAGCTCAGTCTGAGTCTGAGGTATGTTGGGCCGTTCAGAATTTGTAAACGGGTTTGGTTCAGTAGCATATCAATTAGAGTTGCCAAAGGAACTCAGTGCAATTCATAACACTTTCCATGTCTCTAACCTGCGAAAGTGTTTGGCTGATCCGAATTCGGCAGTACCGCTACCTGAGGTACAAGTTGATAGTAAGTTGAATTTTGTGGAAACCCCTGAGGCTGTCACTGAACGAAAAACGAGGGTTTTAAAGAATAAAAAGATCAGTCTTATAAAAGTTTAGTGGCGTTTTCATAAGGTCCAGAAGCTACCTGAGCTGGAATCAAAAATGAGATTTTGAGGGGTGGATAATGTGATAATAGAGATGACGTATAGTGATGATTGAGGAAATGAATGCCCTTGATCATAATGGTACATGGACATTGGTAGATTTGCCTACGGACAAAAAGGAAACCCAATGTACATGGGTTTTCACTATTAAGTATCAGCCAGATGGCTCTATGGCTCGCCCTAAAGCTCGTCTTGTTGCTAAGGGATATGCTCAACAATATGGGTCGATTACTCCGACTTTTTCTCCGGTTGCCAAATGCACTTCTTCTCAACCGATCGTCTCCTTGGCAGCCAACTTTTATTGGTCGTTACATCAGCTTGATATTAAGAATGCTTTTCTTCATGGTTCTATTCAAGAAGAAATGTATATGGAGCAACCATGTGGATTTGTTGCTCGTGCGGGGGGGGGGGGAGTGTGCGAAAGTACATCTCTAGAAATCCTTGTATGGATTGAAGCAGAGCCCTCGAGCATGGTTTGGAAAATTTAGCAACGTTATTCTGGCATATGGAATGAAAAAGTGCAAGTTTGATGAAAGTGGCACGATCCTACTTCTAGTATGTGTTGATGATATTGTGATTATGGGGAGTGATAATCGAGCCATATCAAGACTAAAGACATTCCTTTAATCTCACTTCTAGACAAAGGATTTGGGGCCACTGAAATGTTTCCTTGGAGTAGAGATATAGAGGAAATATGTTCTCGATCTTCTAAAAGAAATAAGAAAATTAGGGGCTAAACTGTGTAGCACCCCAATAACTCCCAATTTAGCCCAAGAAAGGATGATGGAGAACCATTTCATGACCCTGAGAAGTATAGACGGCTCGTTGGAAAACTAAATTACCTTACGGTAACATGCCCCAACATTGCATTTGTAGTCGGTGTCGTCAGTCCATTCATGTTTGCTCCAACAATTAACCATTAGGTACGAGGATTGGTTTATAGACGCCATGGCCATGCTAAGGTAGAATGCTTCACTGGCCTAATTGAAGCTTTTTCAAATGCAGACTATGGTGGATGCAAGGATGGCAGCAGATCCACCTTGTATGTTTGTTGGGGGAAATTTGGTTTAATGGAAGAGTAAGAAACAAAATATGGAATCTCAGTCCACAACTGAATCAGAATATAGAGCTATGTACTCGATCTGTGAGATAGTATGAATACATCAACTACTTAAGGAAATTGGCTATGCGCTTGTACTTCGTGCAAAGCTTTGGTGTGATGATGAGGATACCCTTCATATTGCTTCAAATCTTGTTTTTACGAATGAACTAAACAGAGTGGGACCAGTTTCAACGACATATCGATTGCGTCATTCCACGAATCCGTTTTGCTCATTGGTGTGAGAACATAAACAGCGATGAACAATGCCAAGGGATGAGAAGAAGGGAGATAGATTTCAAAATTCACCACTCCAATCAGTTTGAACGTTTTTGACCTTTGTAGTAAGTCTTTCGACCATGGTAAGAAAACCTTCGAAGGTGTTGTAGACATCTGATTTTTGAGCCGATGGATAGATCCACATATAACGAGAATGATGATCAACAAATAGCATAAAGTAACGATGACCTTCAAAAGATAGAACAGGTTCAGGACCCAGACATCACAATAAACCAAATCTAAAATTTTATTACTTCGAAAGGAAGAAAACAAGTAATGAATGTTTTGATGATTTGCCCATTTGACAGGACGTGCAAAAAGGTAATGTCTTATTTATAGCAGGAATAGAAAATCTAGAAAGCATAAAATGAAAAAGACGTTGATGTGGATGACTGAGCCGCCTATGCCAAATGATGGAGTCGTGGAGGGTGCATGATCAACAACAAATGTGATTTTATTTATAGACTTGAGCTGGGGTAGACGAACAGAGTAAAGACCATCCTCACTGAGGCCGTAAGCAGGGTAGTGCGTGTAGACTTTTCCTTCACGACAAAAAAAGTTGAGTGAAATTCAAAGAAAACATTGTTATCTAAACAAAATTTCTAGACAGAAAGAAGATTTTTGGTGATTTCTCGAACGTGAAGAATATTAGATAAACAAAAGGGTTTGTGTGGTGAGTAAATGGTTGAGGAGCCAATGTGAAGTATAAGGAGTCCCTTACCATTACCAACATGAAGAGCGTTACTACCATGATAAGCTTCAAAGTTATCCATACTTGCTAAATTAGGCGTAACATGACTGTTTGCTCGTGTGTGTCAAGAAACCATGAAGTTGATTTAGCAGATGGGGAGGCATAGTATTGGCAAAGTTAGCAGTCTGCCTAGGATAAATGGTGGATGGATCACGATCAGGACACTATGATGGGAGGTGCCCAATATCACAGCGATTACAAGTTCCCTATACTATGTTTTGATTTGCCCAACTAAATTGGCAACCATCGCCACGTCCACGGATGCTACCACGAGAATTTCACGGCGACGATAACCAAGGGTAGATGCAATGGAACTGATTTGAGCAACAAGTTGTTGATGATGATAGACAGAAGGTTGTGACAAACTACAATTGCCGGTTGTAGCTGCAAAAACCTGAGAAACAAATGGAGTAGAGGCACGAGTTCCCAAGCATGTAGTCATGGTCACTGATAAGGGCATGAAGTTCATTGAAGGCAATTGGGAATTGACGTGCGGTGATGTAGATTTAAGACCATTGTATTCTTCACGGAGACCAGAAACTACAAGCATAACAAGATCTTTATCTTCGACAGGTTCACCAATGGCAGCTAGAGCATCTGCATACTCCTGTGCATGATTGAGATAAGCCTCTACAGTTTCATCGCCTTCCATCTGAATCTTGAGAAGTTGAGTTTTCAGTGTATATTCCCTGGATGATGTGCGAGGGGCATAGGTTCGTTCTAGGGCAAGCCATAGATCACAGGAAGTTTCACCATGGACATGTCGGAAAGAGGCTTCGGAGATAGTGGAGATAACCAACATGCGAACATGAGCATCATTAGAAATCCAAATCGGGTAATTAGGGTTATCTTGTGGATTGGTGGTAGCCTTTGGATCGGAGGTGGTAAATGGTAGATGTTTGGATGGACACGGTATTGATCCATCTATACATCCGAATAGGTTATTTGTGACAAGAAAGGGTTGAATCATTGTTTTCCAATGACCATAGTTTGTAGGAGTTAGGGTAAAGCCAAACTTGTGTGAATTGTGAGATTGTTTCTCCGCTGTTGTGAAAGAGGCTATTAGAGCCATGATATAGTAATGTACCATAAAAGAAAAGAAGACTGAAAATTAGGGTTCCAGCGGCGGCGGCAGATTCCAACGATGGCGGCAGTGGATGGTCAGATTAACAGAGGCGGCAGCGGCAGCAGATGATCAGCCTTGTAGTGGTGTGACCAAGAGGGCTGGTAGGGTTTTGATAACTTGGCTCCAATACCAAGATAAACCACAAGGGTTTTGTGTATTGATTTGATATGTAACCTAATTACAATCGGTCTCTATATATAGAGATACTAATTACATATGAGTGCCCTCTACATTATACTAATTGCACTTAAGTACATCGAGTCTAATATGCAATAGGAAATGTTCTGTCAGAAGATTAGTTAGGAGACATTTTCATAAAAACCATGAATGGGATCCGTATTGATTATACTTGTAATAAGCTGGGCAAGATCAATAGCTTAAGGGGAGTGTTATGAATCAACAAGAAAAGGAAACAAAATCATTTAGATTAGGAAATTATAGAGATTTGATTTCCTCAAACCATGTATAAATAGATGTATTTTATAAGTAAACTGAATCAAGTGAAACACAATTGATATTGATTTCAAAGGGAATGAGGTGGTAACAGAAAGTAGCAACAGTACGTCGACCAGGAGAAACAACTAACATTCTAATGTCCCTACATAGCGAAGATGGCCTCCACATTCTAGGTTATTGGTAGTACAACAAATGGATTTAAATGGAACAACAATGATTAGCATCTGTTCAAAAGGATATATAGCTGAACCAATAATCATTTTCAGATATGTTGCCATACCTCTAAAGTGATGACGCCACGGAAATGTCTCTCTTCTTGTTTTTTGGTGTATCCAAGCTGCAGAGAAACACTTAAAGATTTGATACCAGCAAAAATTATTTGCCAAAAACAATGACATGTAACACTCCAACAACGTATATGAGGTTCACCAGCAAGATCATGGGGTGCAATGACATGAACTTAAATCTCGCTCCCCATATGAATGCATTACTTGAGTTACACTCCGATTTGCGCCAAGGCAAATAGGGCTTGGGTGCCGTCAGATGTAAACTGGGTGCACACACTTGGCTAAATCAGGTGTGGCTTGGTGCAGCTCAGATGTGATTCCCTATCTTGGAGGATTAAGCATCTTTTACTAGTTTCTAAATTTATATTTCGTCTTCTGATAGTTCCAGGTCCAAACAGAAGAAGGGACACTTCTTATATGTGTGGTTATAAACACATAAAATGTTAAACTCTGATTCTCCAGATAATTAGTGTTGTGACTTATATTTTCTAATTATCTCCAGTACTATCCTCTTTCTTTTCTTATCCATGCTCATCGTCTCATTTTATTTAGTATGCCTCTTTAGCTTACTGTTTCTTGTTCAATGATTCATAATATTTCTGTACTTGTGTCATAGGATAGGGCATCCATGTTGAGATGGATCAGCAAGTACTTCGACGGATTTCGTTATGGACTTATATACTTTGCAAATATTTCTTTATTAAGCTATTTCTCTAATTAACTTAAACAATATACATGCATGTGCATATGTGTGCTGCACGCCTGCACCCACATTTAAGTGCCTTTTAAGAATGTCTAACCCACACACCCAATACACTCATGCTCATCGGTTAACTCCTACTATGGAATGCGTATAGGATTCATATTAATCCACTTCATCCGCATAAAAGGTGATACAAAAGACACTTTCCTTAGCAATTTAAGTTGTAAAAATGATGTACCTAAGAACATTGATATTATGATGGTGTTACTAACCTTTCCGGTTTTCTCATTTAAAACAAACCATCTCCTACTCCATCCATTAGTTTTTGCACTTTTCTTCAACAAGAATCCTGTAGCAAAGAACAGTAGTTATAGATGCAACTTTTAGAGGGAGGATGTAATATCGGTATGTCAAGTACTTCCTATAGATAAACCCCAAGGGTTCACATTATTGAAATTTCGTAAAAATAAGATATCAATTGCCATTGTAGTATTTCTAGTTTCTGTAGTCCAATCATTGGTCTTGAAAATTTCTTCTATAACTTGAGGTAGTATTGCCTTAGTTTCATATATGTAGTAACAGGGAAAGCAAAGATGATATCAAAAGCCTGAGTCAAACCAAACATAAAACTCTCATTTAAACATTAATGAGGCTGAAAATATATCCATCACATGCTCCAAAGTAACTTCACAAAATGTGTCATGAGCTCTAATAGTGAGAGATTATCTTTAGAAGAATAAAGGCTTGTTGGTCTCAGATCACAAAAAATTGACTGCATAGAAGAATTTCAACAAAAAACCAAATCATGAAACAACTATTTTTCTTGTCTCAATTGATTTAATAGATGAGTTAAAAAAATACAAATTAGAGTTTATACTAAAGTCAAACTACTGTAGATATTACACAATTACCAAAGTTTAAGATAACAATTATCCATATACAAAATAAGAAAAAAAGCTGAGAAAAATGTCAAAAAAAACCTGCCGTTATCTCCCCTTCAGGTCCTGCAGTCTTTAAGGCCGGCCCCTCTTGTACATCCTTGCCTTGTTTTGTATCCTTCATCAACTTTAAGGTCCACCCAGATTCTTTCCTTCCTGTTTGAGGACTACTTGCCTAAATAGTACAAAAAAATAGAATAAGTTGATATGTGACTGAAAGCTCTAAAAATTCCTTGGGCTAATTTCTAATGAACTATAAAATGTAACACTTATTTAATCTTCCAGTTAGCATAAACTGATGTACCCTATTTAGCAAGGATTGCTCGGCATCAACAGTCTTCTTGGAAGATTTTGTTTTAATCTCTTCCTCCCGTCTCTGCCTATCCATCCTGGCATGAGTGATACGAGAATATATTGTCAAGTGAAGAAAACATGTAGAATTTTTGTCCTCAACAAGTATCAAAAAAGTAAATAATTGGCAACCACCAAACTTTAGCATTTTTTTGTAGATAAAGTGTGAAGTTATGAAGAGAAAGAATGCATAGTAACTGGCATTCTCTTTACAAAATTAATAATGGTGATTTTGGCAGTAACATCGATTAGAAAGATGTTGGTCTTTGAATAATGAAATTTTAGAAGAGAAAACCTTGGAAACCCGAAACAATTCAAAAGATATCATTGATCATTGAATAACAAATCCAATGGAAAATAAAATAGAAGGATAGAGAGCCCTATTATAGCCAATCCTCTAGGGTTCAGAGATCAATAACAATTGCCAACCATACAACCTTCCACAAGGTTCAGTATCGTTTATTCCACAAATACTATTTCTGGAAAATAACACATTCTAGTTTAAAATAGAGGAAGTATGATGTAAAGTGTGACTATGCACCAGGGCTGAAAGTAACTTCAGCTTCCCGTGCAGGAAGTCACTTACAAACATGACCAACTCTCTCTACATGTTTCAAGACATAAAACACTAGTTGATAAGTCGCACAAGATGTCACATTGGCAGGGGATGAACTCTCAGGTACATTCACAGCAAGTTCAGACGCGACATCATGAAGTCACCTTCAATGTTGCGACCAAGTATTTCAAGAAACCAGGTGAGTTCAGAAGCAACTTGGAAGTCACCTATGAGTACCAGGAGGTTTATATACCATTTCTAGGTCCTTTTGTTAATTACCTCAAACAATACACATATACCCTTGTACTTGATACCAAACACCATAGCTTCAGGTTTTTCATTGTTTTGTACGAAAAATTCATCAATTTAGTGGGCTTATCGGTGGTCTCACCCACCCGTGTTTTTTCCTTGATATGGGATTCCATATAAATCTTGGTCTGTCTCTCTCTCTCTCTCTATTCGTTTGGTTCATTATTTGTTGAATGCCTTGTTTTATTGATGAAAATGATGTTTAATATACATTGTTGGACGTCAAGCGAAGTCTATCCCCGATATTAGGTCGGTTCAATTTTGTGAACATTGGTTGATATTCCCTTGTTTGTTTTCCCCTATTTTTATCTAAGCTACTGGGCATTGTTGGTTCTGTTGAAATATGTGATACACACCACAGCTATGCTTCACGACCAAAATCTGGCATCCACAGTGTGTATGCGACCTGGGTTGCCCAAGTAGTTGTGGTACTTTTTTCACGTGGGTTTGCATGCGAGGTTCACTTGGTCGTGGCTTGGATGTGTACGGGCGACCTACCCCGCAACGCCACGAGTTAGGTCGTGTAAGGCTTTGTTTTCACCACTAAAGCGATATTTTGCTAGGGTTTTAGCTAGATTTTGAGGCTTTCTTCCCTAGGCGAATTTTCACTGAATTCAAGGAAACTTTAGGAGGTTTTACCTTAGGATTGTAGGATCTTTGCTTAAAAATAAACTCCATTGTATGGTTCCTCCATTTTGATCATCAATATCCAAGCTTTGTCTCTCCCCTGTGGATGTACACTACCTCACAATAGTGGAACCACGTTAAATCTTGGTGTTCTTTGTGTTTATTTGCATTTACATTCATTGGGTATCGATTTAGATTGCATTTATTACTTGTTGGTACATTTAAACACATTTGGGATCCATATAGTCCATGTCCATGTAGACGTTGGGTGGCAATCTTCACATATTGAAATTCATTCGGGACTCTTGTGCATTGGTTTGTGGAAATTATCCCCAACGGGTTCTTTGTCAACATACAGTATGATAGATATTCAAGATCATGGACTGAAGCCATGATAGGTTCATTATGCCCCAACACTATGAGCTGGAGGCTTACCCAAACTAGGGTATATGTGGCAACCTTGTACCTGGAATGCAATATGAAACATTTGTTACAGGTAGTTAACTTATAAAGCTTTCAGACAATTATGTGGATGACCTTTAATCTTTTAAAACTTGAATCAGGAAGTGACAAAGAAAAAAGAAGATTAAAGAAAAAGTTAGTGATGTCCATACCTTCTCTGCACCAGACGAATGAAGTGTTGGGGTGGGACAAACACCCGCTCCATGTCAACAAGTGCAGCCACCATGATCCTAGCTTCGTTCTTGAACCCCTCTAGAGCAGCGGTAGCTAAAGCCACAACCTAGTTAACCAACAGAGCAACATAATTGATCAAATTAAAGCACACAAGCAAAAATATGCAGATGTTCACTTGAGAGATTGTATTATTTTGCAGGTACTAAACAACTATACCTCTCTCTTGAATAGAGGATATCTTCCTAGACTATGTGTAGCATTTGCTGATGATGAAACTATATCCACAAGCACACGATGAACCTGCAATTATCAAATTTAATTATAGTGTAGAATATGTATATATACAAAAGAAAAAGGCAATAGAATTTTTGGCTCTGGTGGAAGTGTGTAGGGATGGAGATCATCCTCACAAAATCCTCCTTCTTTGTACTATCAACATCTAAAGGTAATCCTTTCTCAAAAACTCTTGATAGACCACTATAACTAAGTGCTTGAATAACACTCGAGCACTTTGCATCTGTCACCACTGTTGCAACCAATCTCGCTTAATCCAGGTGGAACTGATAAGTGGGTTTGGAATATGGATGCAAACGGGAGCTTCACTGTGAAAAACTTGAGAGAAATGTTGGATAGAAGGTTGCTAGATACACACGAAGGGGTTGGAACTACCCATTGGTGTTCTTTAGTTCCAAAAAAAGTCAATGTTTTCATATGGAGGTTGTGTAGGGGAGGGATTCTAGTAAAGGAAATGCTTTATGAAAGGGTTTTTTTGACTTAGACTCTAGACTCTGTCCTAAATGCAACAGTGAGGTTGAAACTCTTAATCATTGCTTTCTGGAGTGCTCGATCAGTGTGCAGGTGTGGGAATCTTTTTGCTTGGTGAGGCGGAAATATCCAGTCTAGAAGATCGATTGAGTGAGGAACTAATTTCGGGCAATGATAGCAATGGGGGTGCATCCTCATTAGCTTCGGTGATGGAAGCAATCAGTTGGTCTACTCTTTGCATCTTATGGAGGAAGAGAAATTCACTGGACTTTGGAAGAGATGCTCGGATCAACATTCAGAAGCTATTTTTCGAAATTCAGTCAACCTCCTTTCTTTGGATCTCGAACAGGGTTAAGAGCAACAAACCTTCTTTGGTGGATTGGTTGTGTGGATCTAATTGGTAGTCTCAATGTCCGTCTAACTCGTGTTTTGGTCCTATGCTTTTGTTTTGTATCGTTTCCTCTTTCTGGTTTCTATGTTTTTGCAATGGTTTGATTGTTCTTTCTTAGCATTCTGCCCCTTGCAGAATGTGGGTCTCTCCGGTGTATTGTTTTGGGTTTTTCCCAGTTCTTAATATTATTGCCTTTCAAAAAAAAAAATTCGGATTTTAGGTTACCTTTTTTCATCAAGTTCCATGTTATTTTATTTGAGGGTACCTACCAGTCCACTTGTGTTTTTAAAGAAGCAAACCTTCTATTTTCAATATTTTAAGATTTGAACTGCGTTTACCGTTCCACGTTTTGCATGACATGGTAAAGGACAAAAAATCACCATTCCCATTTGGTGCGACATGGGACAGGACCTGGGTGGGACAACATGTAACAAAAAAGGCTTTTTCTGTTCCACCAAAATAAGTGGAACAGATGGGACAAGGATGAGAGAACTAAAAAATACCAATCTACCCTAACATGGTATTTGGTTTAATGGTCACTATCGTCCATCGCCGCCGCCACCACCACTGTCAACAATCATAGACCACCTTCACTACCACCACTTCCACCTCTTCCATAACTACCACCTCCACCTACATATCCACCACTTTCAGCAACCACCATTGCCTACCAAAACCATCGCCATAACCACCAACACCACCATCGGCTACCTACCACAGTTCATTACCACCTCTACCTCCTCCACAACCACCACGACGATCTCCACATCCTCCACAACCACCATCGACCACCACTGCTGCTATCTCCACCACTATCACCACCACCGACCACCTCCACCTCCGCCACAATCACCATCAAGAGCCTCTTTTCCACCCACCATATAAAATCATTGAACAACATTTAGGAGCAACTTGTCCAATCCAGTCCTACGTGCCAAACACTAGACAAATAACTTGTCATATCTAGTCCTATCCAGTCCGGTCATGTTTTCTTGTCATCTCCTGATTACTCCTGTCCTGTCCGGTCTGTGTACCAAATGCAACCTTAGCTTTGAGCGTTTTCTATTTTGAAACTTATTGTATAAAATGGATTTGTTTATTTGGTTTTCTAAACTCATTACATGTGTTGTGCTTATCTATTTTAATAGGTAATTGATTTTCATAAGTGGTGGTTAGCTTATCTATTTTTTATTCTAAATTCCATCTCCACTTTTCTATTATATTCATTCATTAACGTTCATTTTCCGTGCTAAAAGTTTTATCTCAGGTTTTATGCATATGGATAATTGATCAGAAGAACACCATCAACAAAAGAATAATTTATTAGGATCGTCAATTGTACATATAACCTTTTGATAGATCTTTTAAGATAAGATTGTTTATGAGTTAATTTATGTTATCTGTAAATTTCTGTTTTGATATGCAGTCCTATTGGTACATTCATTCTCCACTCCCATGAAATATTACGTAGCGTAATACTTCTTGCATCCCGAAAAAAGAGTCTGCAGGTGACCTTTTTGTGTCAACAGACTACTTCAGACCAAGTTGGACAAGATACCCAAAAGGGTTTTTCGGGCGGAGTTGGAAGTTGCACCTATCATGGATAAATTGAGAGAAAGAAGATAGTGGTGGGTTTGAACATGTTCGTGGGAGATAAAGGACGACTCTGGTGAAGAGGGTAGAAAACATGATGGCGGGGGGTTAGGAGGGGCAAGTCGAGGAGGACGTGGGATGAGTAACTACGAATAGACGTGGTGGCCTTAGACATTTCTGAGGATACTATCTGTGATATAAGGGGTTGTGTAGTTTTTCATACCTTGGATATGTTCCATTCTGCTTACTTCTATTTCTTTTGTGTTTTGCATGCTTTTGACTGTCTTGGTTACTTTTTTCAAAAGTGATCCTTTTTTCCTTACTAGGCTCGAGCTCTTCGCTTCAACTTCTTTTATTTTCTTGTTCATTTCTTCAAATTCATTCAACATTTTGGCAAGCTTTCTGAAACTTAGATCAACTTTTTTGCATGTCAGGGTCTTCAAGGAAACACTCATCATACTCTTTGGGGGTAGAGAATCTATGTACATCGCAACCCCCCTAAACCCTACTTCCGATTAGGAGATATTGGGTTCGAAAAGGTTTGGTTTAACAAGTATATATACACAAAAGTGAAAGAAGTGGAATCACGGGGAAATCAGATGCCACTACATCTAGATATCTTAATTAGGCATAACATGCAAAACAAGGCAATCCCACAAGATACATGAAATCATAGTGTTAAGGGTCCGGTTAGTGTGCAAGATGGGACAATAGAAATAGTCCCATGTTTGGCATGCCATGGAACAAGAACAAGGTTGGACAAAAACTCATATGACTATCTTAAGCTCTTAAATCTAAAGCCCCTTTCATCATTCTATCCAAAAATCCCAATCAAGCATCCATCATTCCTCCCCCTTCCAATTCTACGAACGAAAATCGAGTTCTTCGTTGTTCCTCTAGAGAAACTCACCAATAACTTGATTTCTCAATTCATCGTTCCTCTAATTCTCGCTCACCGACTTCGTGTTCCTCTAAATCTCGATTGAATATGACTTTGAGTTCTTGATTGTGCAAACTCAATTTATGACTTCAAGTTTATATCTGACTTTGAGTTCTTGATTGTGTAAACTTGAGTTTGACTTCGAGTTCTTGACTTAGGTCCGACTTATAATTTCCGACATTGCGATTAACTCAATCAGAGTTATTCGTGCTTAATCTTTGGTTTTTCTGGGTTTTACTTGGGTTATGAACAATATGTTGTTATTATGAACTTGGGATTAAGAACAATATGCTCTTATTAAGAATGTGCACTGCACCATTGCAAATGCACCAATGATGTTATGATTGCCATTATTGTTGATGTGGTTTTGAAGTGTTTTAAATGTAATATTTGTTTTTGACTACTGCTTGTTATTGCAAATTATGTATATATGGTTATAAATATAACATAAAAAACTTCTAATACCTTTTACAAACAAAATTATTTAAATATTTGGTTGGTTTATGTCATTTTAAGGTATGATCCGGTCATTTTTTACAGTTTCGTTGTGTCTCGTCCAGCTTATCAGACAGCAGTCCCGTCTTGTTCTGTCGTACCAAACGCAAGATAGACAATTAGACCAATCATGTCCCATCCGGTTTTGCACCAAACACTACCAAACAACAATCACATTGGTAGCTTGTAGCAACAACTAAGCAATTTTTAGAAGCACTTCAAATTTATGTTGAATTGTTCCCTTAGGTGTTCACAACAATATTGCTATAGATATTCATATATATATATATATATTGCAAGGATATATTCCAATGTCCGATGGAATCAGCTTGCCAAGTACCTGTTGTGCACTCTTGCTTCCATTTCAACTCCTTCGGTTAGTTATGACTCTCTTGCCTCAATACCTGCTAATATTTCCTATATTTGGCCAAGCCTATTTTGCTTCCTCCATGGACATTCCTTTTGAAGACATAATGAAATACATAGTTCTACCTTTTTGCACCTTAAGGAGACCCTTTTTCTTGTTTTCTTTTCGTTTTAGGTATGTGTCTTTAATTCTATTTTAATTCTTTACCAGCATATGCACACACAAGCTTATGTTTGTTTCATTTTGCTTTCTTTCTCCTTTTTTTCTGATGTGAAAGATGTTCTAGCAAAACAATAAATGCACGGTAACTATGAACAACGGCTGTTGGCCTCAATAAAGCATAGTATTGTCATAAAAGGTTGTGTTTGTTACATGGGAAGGGACAAGAATGGACATGACAAAAAGATTTTTCCCACATTTGGCACAACAAATGTTCGAGACATGACAAGGTGTGACAGCATTGACATTTTCTTGTCCCACAGAAGAAGTTGGGATTAAGTGGGACAAAATAGACAGAAGTGGGACTATTTTTCCAAAAGATAATTTTGTCCTTCGTCAAAATATCTTTTTGAACTTGTATGTTCTTATGTTGTTGAAAGAGATGGTAAAAATATGATATATATATATATATATACTTATAAATGTTTTTAATAAAATCATTTAACACTTTACTTGTTCTATCATGTCCTACGTCTTAAAAAATACTACACAAATAGCTAGTCTTGTCCAATCAGTCAAGTTCCTTCATGTCCAGTCCATGTATCAAATGCAGCCTAAACAAGCTACAGCCAACCATAACAGCGGACAATATAACGTGATGATTACAATCAACTAGTTTCAACATTTTCATGTTGCCATATTTAGTTAGCCATTAAATTTTGCAAACATCAGAAATTGCAAAAAGGTTTTATCACCATTGGTGTCAAAAGGAAAACTGATAGGAGTATGTGCTTTGATTGAGACACAAACAACATATGACTTGAGCAGCACGTGAGCATGCATATCGATTTCAAGAGATAGATTTAAGTCAAATGTGGTTTGTTTCTCAATCAATTCCAGCAAGAGACAGCTTAAGACGAAAAGTATCATCTATATCTCATTAATGTGCAACAAATTTGAAAATACAGATATGACAGAAGTCAAAAGTTCCATGCAACGTAAGGCAAGATGTAGAACAGCAGAATAAAAAACAAGATGCCCTGCCAATAAAGATGAAGGGAAGAAAAGGAAACAAAAACAGTGTGCATTTACCTCATCAGCGCAAAGGAGTGATGGTTCTTTAGCAAGTTCTAATACACCTTTTATTAAAGAGCGGAGCCCTTTTTCTGGAGAGATAAGATAAGGTTGGTAACCATCTGCTTCTACCACAATCTGGTACACAATTCCAGTCATGACGGAGTGACATGAAGAATTTTGAGTGAACTAAATCCAATGAAGTTAAACATACCCTCTTAACGTTATTTATGTCGAAATGTCTATCTAGTGGAATCTGCTTGATCCTATTAGGAAAGTTCCCCTCGAAACTTGCAACTACTTTCCAGCCACTACCCTGAAAAAGTTAGCATCTAATAGCATCAGCAAACTTGATACAAAATTGAAGTTGTAATATAACCAACACCAAGTGTGGTATGATACTATGATACCCTTGTTCTTCCATAGATAAGTGGATATTTAGTGATCAGAGCCAACGACAAAAGTAAAGTCACCAAACAAGTAAAATAAATTATGTTTGGTGAAGTGAGGGTACATTCTCTGGACCAATAAGTCTAGAGTCCTGGAACCAAAAGGGGTTTTAGTGATCAGGAGAGATTGAAATTAAAATTCCCATAGAAAACTGAAGTACATCACATTTAAACTGTTACCCGACCAGTTATCTGTCATAGAAAGGTCACAATATTTAATATGCATGGTAAAATGATTTCAGGAGCTAATAGAGCACATTATATTTAACAGGCAGACCACTTTAAACAACATTTCATTTGCTTTCCTCAACCTTACCACCAGTGTTAAATAAAAACTACCTGTCTACCCCAACTCTATAACAAAATGGCATACAAGCATTGAGTGCTACAAGAAGCCAAAAGAATGAAAAACACTTGGTTGCATCAACTCGAAATGAATGCTAAACCTCAAACCAAAACAAGTTCACATGAAGCAAAACTAATCTAGGATGATGAAGAAAGCCAAGGAATAGGAAATGTGCACTCAATATTTGGTTTAGTAAAACAAAGTGAGCAAGTGTTATAGGATTAAGAATCCTCAATGGCTTAGAGACTATATAGAACTGGGGCTGAAACAAAGTGTTTTTTATTAACATTGAATGGTAAATACTAAATAACCTATCACATCATGATTTATTGGTAATATGAAGCTAGCCAAATGAAAACAAAATCATAAATGAACAAAATAAAGGACACATAAAAGAAACAGAAAAAAGTAGAGTGTGAGGAATTAATGTGTACACAACAAATAATAATTTGTCAAAAGATAAAGCACGATTACACTTAATGGTGAAGACTTGTGTGCATGTATGAATCGACCAAAAAATTTACTGACACTACTACATCCACTTTGCAACGTACATAATTCTCTGTATATCTTGCCATATCTTTCTCTCAATGCCTCATGCGTACACGTCTCCATGACTAAGTGGTGCTTTGGGAAAAAAAAAAGTCTCTATTCTACTGCCATGTAGAACAAGCAAGCAAGAATTTGGAATTTCTTTACTTTAAAAAAAAAAGAATTTGGAATTTCTTTGTTGGTTCTAGATTGAGATACCATCAACATTTACAATCTCTGTATTTCAAGGGAAGTATCAAATTTTATTTTTTTGTTAGTCATCTTATTATTTATTAACTAGATGACTGAACTCTTGAATAGTAATATATACGAAATTAACAAGTGGCAATAAACTTGCATCAGATCATGTCCTCCTGGCATGGAAACCTTTCTGCAGTTGATGCACTGCAGATAATAAAAATCAAAGCTACCAAAACTCCTAATGTTATGTTATTCACACTATGCATGTATAACTCCTAGTTCTTTCATTCTTTTCCCCGAGTTCTCACCTCCCCAGTTATAATATGTTGAAGAAACTTGTCCTCAAATTCACGGCAAAGCTCCAAAGCCAAGGCCCTTGTACCTTCAGAACTACTGACCATTGATTCTCCAAGCCTTACCAACTCATCCTGCACACTTTGAGACTTACCTTGAAGCCTGCACAAGTTTTAGAAATTGAAATACATCAGCAATTTTTCTTTTCCTTAGAAAGGCGATCAACATTTAGTTCAAGTCTCATTAACATGTTCACTCTTCACTAAAAGAGATATGTATTGTGAAAGGAGGGCTATCCATACAAACAGATTGAAAACCAACACAAGTAAGAAGTTAAAGTTCTTTCTACCTCAAATTAACATCAGATTGCATTCAGTTGCCATTTGGGGGGTACATACGGTCAAAAGACATGTTTTCTTTTTAGAAGGGTGTCCCAGGCATAATTGAGGCAAATTTTGATTGCAAGAAATCAGCCCTGAAAAACTCGGTGGCCATAATTGTTGTGTACGTCTGGACTCGAAGCCTGGGCAGGATCCTCAGGACCTCAATCACTACGCCACAACCCTTGTGGTTAAATAAATAAATCAATAAGGAAAACACAATGTGGTTGATCTTTTTCGTGAATGGAGTAGAAATTACCGACAAATGTTTAGCACCTTGACTATTATAATTTAACTAAAGGTCACCGCAATGTTTCATGATAACAACACAAGAAAGTATCAACTTAGTGGATATATACACATAGGAAACACATGAATGGTTTCTATAGACAAACTTTGCAGGAAAACTGTAGTGTTTAGATTCTACAAAAAGAATTAAAATACAAATAGCTAAATGATCAATCTTACCCTGATAGAAGACTTGGAAGCCTGATCTTCATTCGCCTACGGATTTGATCAGCAAGGGTTGCTAACAAGGCTAATCTACCAAGCTTACTCTGAGGAGCACCTGTCAATATAGATTTTAAACTTTCACTTTCAGCTTGCCATGAATTTTCTAATGAGTTATCAGATCCCGATTTTGCTGAAGCGATGGAAACTGATTGACCAATTAGAGCAACCCACGGGATATCAATTGTACTTTGTGGTCCTTGACCCAAGAGAAGTGCTTGAGTGGCAGCAAGAACTTTTGGATCTGATGACACTTGATCTATTTTACTGATGACGCCAATAGTTCTTGTAGCTACAGTAGGGCAAAATCATATTTACAACTCAAGATTTTAATAATTGTAAAAAGAATAACTAAAACAAAAATAGAAAGTACTAAGCTAGTATATGACAAAAAATGTTATCAAAATCAAGGGACACAGATCCCACATTCTCTATCATATTCCTTTGCAATTCTGAGGGCTCTAGCAGAGGAAATTTCCGGTGCCTGAGAAGCTGGTATAACAACAAGAAGAATTGCATCATTGTGTTGAGCATATTCCCTCTGCAAGAACATTAGGTTATAAGATCCCTATCCATGAAGCAACAACAAGCCTTTCATCCCAATCAATCAGGGTTACAAAAAATAACTGTGATCTTCATAGGATACAGAGCAAAAATGACACCAAAATAATCAAAATGAGAGCAACTCACCAACGAATCATCAAGATTTCCTTTATCCACTCCAGGCAAATCAACCAATTTGAAAGGAGGAGCTATAAAAATATAAAACTAAAAATTAGCGAAGGATAGAAAGGAGAAATTAATGAAAACCAAAGCAAATGTCAGCATGTAAACATATAAAGCTAAGAAAAGGGAGGGGAGTAGTTAATAACATGGAGTTTGTAACAACCCATTTTCAGGCCTAGATGTTATTATGATAAAGAACCGTAAGTGTGTTTAGTGAATAAGAAGTTCAATCGATAGAGTCCGGTATTTATAGAACCTTTACCGTAAGTGCATTATAAGAATTCTACACTTGCAGTTAGTATCGAGTCCAAAGGAAATAATACACAGCTTACTTTATAACAAAACGATATAAAACGGTGCAATTAATTTCCTAACTGGTTAACAAATATGCATCAACTTTCAAATCTAAAGTTGAAGTGTTATGACACATTCATATTTGATAAAATATCTCCTAAATAAACCATTGGATGTTATAAGTTGGAGTTTATTTGATGAAACCAAACAATAACTATTCAGAACTGTAAATACATTGCATTACGTATAAATTACATTGTTATAGTTATATGTAAATATGTGGTTACAAGAAAATGAAGCAAACTCAGTTGCAAGGAGAATAGGAGAAACAGAGAGTACAGCCTTTTAGACACCAGGAAGATCAAACTCAGTTGCATTCAGTTTTCCAAACTTAATTTTACAAGATCTTGCTTTCAATGTGATACACATTATGTATTTATTTTATAAAGCATAAGTTAGAGATCTCCAATGCAAGGTTCTTACAAGCAAAAAGTGTAACATCTCCTTTGAGTTCTTGTACAAGAACCTTGGTTCTTACCTTGAACTTGGTGTGAAGTGACTTTTTTGTTTTTTTATTATTATATATTTTACTTACTTTATAATTATTATTGATGTTGAAAAAATACATGGAACCCACAAAATGGGTTCTTATAAGAAGTTAGGAACTACCATTGTGAAGTTTTATATAGGTTCTTAATTTGGTGAGGTGGAAATGATGTGACAAACAAAAGTACAAAAAGTGGGTTCTTATAAGAATCTCCATTGGAAATGCTCTTATGGCTTATGATTCATGCTTAGGTTTTATGTATTAATAATCTTACATCATGAATTTATATGCAAGAAAGTAAGCATAATGGAGATATATGCAAGAAAGTAAACTTAATGATATGTTAGTTACTAAATGAATTACACATTTATGGATTTCAAGTTAGTAAATGCTAGGAAAACATATCATCTCTTGAGCATGAAAAACATGATATAGTAAACACATATTCATGGTTGCATAAGGGTTACTTCATTCTTGAAAGGATGTTGGCTACGTGATTATCATAAATGGAAGTAAAGAATTAGGCATCATGGGATTACGTGAATTATTGAGATCCTTGATAGGTGTTCCTGAACATTTGACGAGCTGCTTCAGAACCACCTACCGGCAAGTGAAATGATTATCGAGAGGACAAGTTATTATAGCTTGTGGACAACATATGGAATCGAGAGCTGAGGGGGGTGAAACTAAGTGACCATCACTTGACGTGGCCTCCTCCCAAACACCTCATCACCTCCCACTAACACCCCGTTTTTGTTTTTAGCTCTTGTATTTTACAGCCTCTTGTTTTTTGTTTTATTAATATTTAACAACTCGTATGTTCTGGTTATTCAGTTCAGACGGGCTGTTACAGCCATCATATCATAATCAAAGAATCTCCTTTATTTGTATCAAATACAGTATTGCTCAACTTCGTAAGTTATCCTAGGTGAAGAAGTGAATATGATACTGATTCAACCTCGAGACTGCAATTAGTTCCTTCATCAACTTTACAAACTCCTATGTTAGTGTAAAACTTAATATTTTGATGTTGAAATTTTATTGTTATTGAATATATGTTTCTTAAGTTATACATATATATATATATTTTTTTTTTTGTGTGTGTGCGCGCGCATATGTATATACATATAGGATCAGATTCAAAAGAGAGGACTATCAATTTACGAGAAGGCAAGAACCAATGTAAACCATATAATCTACTGAAAATTACCATAAATAAAAAATGAAAAATAATTTTAAAGATTAAAATAATTATATTTTAAATTAGGATGATTACTAATTTAAATCTATTTTTTTATTTTAATTAATTATTAAAAAAATTCAATCACTATTTTTTAGATACAGTTTTTATAATAGTTTTTTCACAATTTTCTTCAAATATCACATATGATAAAAACAATCAATCCATTATCTTTTTCACTATTTTTTCTCTATTTTTTGGATCCACGTTTTGAATTATGATTAGTTACGTTTAACATATGATCCACTATGTGAATTTTTGTATATATCACATGTGATAATATACATTTGAGTATAATTACGTATCATCACATGTGACAATATGCGTGTAAGTAAGAGTGATGTATTATAGCATGTGGTACTATTTACATCAGAATAAGATCTATAAATGTAAATGTAAATTATCACATATGATTAACAAAAACATCTAAATTATGATGACATATGATTGATATGACCATCGAACAAATTATCATATGCGATAAAAACCTATAATCAAATTGTTACAGATTTATCGTCGTGATGAAATCGTTTTATCAGGGATTATTAGAAATCTGCTTGGAAAACAAACTCAATCCTGATTTATTAGAATTGTTCCCATGGTTACAGATAATTCTATATACAAAATTAAATAATATCTTTTATAATTCTATTTAATAATGTTTTATATAATCCATTTATTAAATAAGATATATGTAGCTTAAGTTCCTTCTCGCAAATTCATTTGCTTCTTGAAGGATCCTCCCCCTATATATATAATTCTATCTATTTTATGAACCACTATTTTTCATCTACTGTACCACCAATTTACCATCGTAATAACCACTATATCAAATCACGATCTTCGCCACTATTTTAGATTTTGACTAAGATAATTTTTTAGAATATTACATACATATATATGTGTGTGTAATCGGACCCAGAAAATTTGAGGAGCAAGTGCACAAATTGATTAATAAAATAGAACTAATCATAAAAAGCATGGTTTAATTAAAAATGGTATAACAAGTGGTTTTTTATAACATCCAAGTGGAATAGTTTGTGATAATTAAAAAAATAAAAAAGGGCCAAAGGAATTCACTAACCACATCCACTAGAGATGCCAATACTTGACTAGCATAAAAGATAATGCCCCAAAATTCAGTTTCTGCAATTGATCTCTCAATGCACTCTCCGCATGGCTTATTTGAAAATTCACTCGTAGTCGATTGTTCAAAAATATACTAGAATCGGAAGGAATGCTAATTCTCGAAAATGCTCTTAATGGTATAAAATTGTGTTGTGATGTGCAACCCCATATTCTTTGGTCATCTTCTGCAGCATGTTGAGAATCCTACATGGTTATAGATGTAAATGACAACACCTCTTGCTTCAGCCAAAACACGTTTTTATCTTAGGTACCTTCTCACCAATATCTCCTAATGTGAGACACACAATGTGTTGCAGCTTCTCACCAGAACACTTCATTGATCATTTTCACATTTAGTTGGGCATCCTTCACATGCTCTCATGCATCAATTGATGTCAGGAAAAAGAACATTCCCCGAGAAGACAACTTACTAAAGTTGATTAAGCATCGGCCTCTCATGTTTGTCCAAAACTAGGATATAATAGTACATTGGTATTTCTTCCGATGCGGCCTAAAGGAATCCACAAACTGTTGAGAATCCCCTAGTAAATCATTCATCAAAGTTATACAAATGTTGTGATAACTTGAAGCAGGCATACCCCTTCGATAGTCTCCAATTGCATTGATTACATCTTGGACATTCTCATTGCGTACGGCATTAAAGGGTAACCCAACCTAATATGCCTAAATCAGAAAAAAGATTCCAAGCGCTCATTTACAACTTCTCCTTGATTGGGTCATTCTATCGAACGTTATTAGTTTTATTTTTCCATAATCAGGCTTCAATATGGTATCAAGAGGACCAGGGGTATTGCTAGCAACTTTTCTTTTCTTAGTGCATGATGACTGTCCAGCTCCACATTGTTATAATCTTCATCATCAATAATTTGTATGTCATCTTCTTCAACAGGGTCATTTGTATGTCTCTAAAGAATTTTCAACTTCCTTTTTCTTTGTTATCTTTTTCATTCATCACCGCAAGAACTCTCAATATAATCCTTGTATTCATTTTAGGACAACCGTGTACTTTGTCCTCCTGTTGAGTAAGATGTTGCTTCAATCTAGTGATCCATCCGCGTGCCTTCTTACCACATTTTGTGCATCAAATATTAGCCTTTTTAGTGGGATCTTTCTGCACTTCCCGTTCCCATGCCATATCTCCCTTGATGCACTTGTGTACATGCGTTAACTGTAGTAGTAATGATCGGAGTAGTGGACACTTTCAGAGATCACCTTGCATGCTTGTTAGGATGACACTTCTTTCATGTAGCAATAATGGTTCACATGAATGAGTTAAATATGTATTGTCCTAATCTTATGCTTTATAAATTGTTAGTACTAAAAAATTAGAATCTATTGGTGTAAGTACTTGGCAAACTTTTATATAGGTTTTAGTTTAAAAGGTTCTACTTTTGACCCTAGTCATCAAACAAACTTATCTATATGTATTCAAACAAAAGGTTGTACAAGTCGAGATCATATATTTAGGAAGGAGACACCTTATATGCATCATACGTAAGCTAGTAGGCATTTAATATTGCCAAATGGAAGCACAAAAAGTGTAAGTATGTCAGGTCACGTTGGTTTCTATTGGAGCTCAAATACTAAGATCAGTGTATATGACTTTGCTTCTATTATGTTCAATATTAACCATTAACAAAACTACATAGAGTACTAAAGTATAAAGCATTAGAAAAAAGGAACCTAAGTTTTCTATAAGCTTATATGGTTTATGACTTTCTGGTTGATGAAGAAAGACGACAAGGAAGCCTGAAAAAAGGAGGTAAATGAAGAAAGAAAGTCTAATGAAGCAAGTACAAAGAATAGACGATCAAAGCCCATTTAATCTTTAATGTTCACTTTATTTAATGGGCCACCAAATACAAGTCGATTATTGAAGCCCCAATAATCCAAATCGAAACCCGACTAAAACCACTAAAAAGCGCAAAAATTGTATATTTCATAAAGCAATTTCATATACAAAAAGCAGTGCAATGCGGAAATTCGTGACCCTCTGAGTGGTAACACGATGCCATTAAATGAAAATTTTGTAGTAGGCAAAACTGATATAACAACACTATACCGCCATTAGTGCCATGATTAGCTGTTTAGATCGCAAGAAACTTGAGGGTAGAGAGATCCATAGGAAGTTTCATAACATAACTTAATTCAAGTTATCACACAATATCAAAGACCAATAAGTACCATTTCCAGTTTTATCTTATGCTTCTATTTCATGTTGCACCTCTTTTCTTATATCCATCTTACTTCTTCTCCTTCTCTTTCTTTTAAAAAATCTCTTAATTTCGACTTCCAGATTCCTTGTTCACAGAACTGTACCAGACAGCAACCAATGTTGCAAAAATTTCCTCGGATATTATATTACTGTAAGGAACAAAGACTATGCTCATAATTCCCCATAAATCGAGCAAAATTGTGGGTATCCATCACATACCAAGTTTACATATTCAAATACCAACCTTTCAACTTCTATATATGAACAGACCGACTACAAGGGATCGTGTCTTAGGAGTCATTTCATTTACTTCAAGACACTAAAGGTCATACAATGCAATGTAAAATCTAATTATGTTCAAGGAACCACAATACCATAAATATTGTTAGATGCATGATAATTCTAGGGAGTATCCTCAAAAAAAGGAACCTTTGCTCTCCACTTTATTTTCCCATTGAGGCTATAAGATCTCTATAAGAGTGTCATCATCTACCAACCATAGGAAGTTTTTCTTATAAACCAAACCAAATGAACTTGGTATATCCCACTCAAAAGTAGGGTCTGGGTGGTGGGATGTATGAAGACTCTACCCTAAAGGGTAGAGCCGTTGTTTATGTGAAGACCCTCGTGCAAAAGTGTAAGCAAAAAGGATAGAAGAACCAAGGTTAGTTAACAGTAAACAGCATAGAAAGAAAAAATAGGCACATAGTAATATATAAAAGAAAAGAAATAGCAAGGAAGGTTGTTTTTTATGCCTCCATGAAATTGACAAGGTATAATTCAAAGCAAGGCAAGTGTTAGAAAGATTGCTATTTTTAGAAATAATGCATCCAGACTCACCTGTACTCGTTTTAAGTTTCAAATATATTTCATCACGACTCTTGCTTGACATTTTACTAAGTTTATCCTGTAAAGAATGCCGAAGAGCACCTATTATTATACAAAAGAAGGGCAAACACAATCAATATCATTAGAACATCAATCCACAAATTTGAAGGAACATTTAATATGCATAAGATTCCTTTGGTATGAATAACCAATGGACTTAAGTATCATATGAGGACTCACTTGCAGACACAGGCTGAGATTTACTATCAATTTGCAATATAATTGATTTGCTGCTTAAGTTACCATCCCTCTTTAAGTCTATGCATATAGGTGCACGAGTTGCACCACCTTCACCAGTAGGCTGCACAAGGAAAGGCCAAATATAAGGAATTCAAACTACCTCTTTCTAAATCCTCAAATGAAAAATAGAAAATGCCATTCGCTGCGTACACCAGTCAGCGGCTGTTCTGTATCTCTAGATTGCTCATATATTATGATGTGGGTGTAAACCATACTGTTTACAAAAATACATATACTGTAAGTTACTACTGAGACCCTAATGAAAAGTAAAAAAATGAATCTCTTACCAGAGCAGGATGTCCAATCAAACTGTTCAATACTGATGATTTACCTGCACTCTGAGCAAGTTGTAGTCCATGATTAGAAACTTGTACCATGCTCCAACTGAAGGAACGAGTCTGATGATAACGAGGCCAAAAAATAAAAGACAAAAACAACACAAAAGCAAAACTGATAAGCCAGCACTGAGGTTCACTTATGTGAGGAGGAACCACAAATAGGCTACTTTGGTAATTCGTGGTGGGTATGAAGGCTATTTTGGGGAAAACAGAGTTTTCAGTTTGTTTGGGATTTTGTTACGCACTAGAGTGTAAGGGAGAGGGAGAGAATATAAACAATTGTTACGTGCCAGGTGAATGGGCATCTTGATTATAACCAATTTTGTAGCGTGAACCGGTGGAGACCCTGCTTCTCGAATTGCTGGATTCGATTCTGTAATTCCTTCTGTTCGTTTCCTACTACAGTCAATTGAAAGCTTCCGACTACAAACTGTGTTCCAATTGATTTCCTTAGTGTATCAAAAACACTTCCTGAACCATGAAGCCTGAAATTTTCCCCTACCTCTTTTGGTGAAGCACAAGTATGATTTTAAAAGAGTTCAGTGAGAAAAGGTACAGGAAGTAGAGCCATGAACCGTCATTTGGCAACTATACAAGACTTGATGCTGATTTACTGGAAGATCTATGTTGAATTTGCTTTGTTATCAATTTTCTGTTTGTAAAAAGTTTAGGTAAGATAACACCAGAACTTGGTATTCGGGTAAACAAGCAATGGTTTTCGGAAAAGAAAGAAAACAGATCTAGCGAGCATGACAATGTGATGAAGTTCCAAAACATTTCCTCCAACTCTTAGATGAAGGTCGAAAGGTCATGGCTTAGCAATGGCATGCAGTACCAATATTCAGCAATCATTGTCAAAACAGATGCATGAAATTGTGGTGGCAGTAGTTGTATTTTGTAACAAGAAGCGAAAAAAAGTGAAAGAAAACACTAGCACGTCATGGTGACAATATCATAGAAAGATACCAAGGGTGCACACTATACAATGAGAATCAGCAATGAATACCTCGAAGGGATGAGAGAAAGAATACCATATATTTCCTGTCTAAATTATCCTACTAGTTTACATCTTCTTATAGGGAAGAACATACACAAAAATAGGAAATTTAGCAATGAATACTTTGAAGGGATGACAGAAACAATACGATATATTTCCTGTTCAGATTTTCCTACTAGTTTACATCCTCTTGTAGGGAAGAACATATGCAAAAACAGGAAATTTCTAACTAATTACAATCCTCGTTTTCTTACTTCACTGATTTACACTATTTTCCAAATCAGTCGACAATCAATTTCAAATTACAACATTCTCACCAGTCACCCCTACCCCCTCAAGCTAGTTTGTAGATATCTTCCATTGCCAACTTGACAGTCAATTAATGAAATCGCTTCTTTGCTAATCCTTTAGTGAGTATATCCACAACTTGTTCTACCATAGAAATGTATAGCATGCTTATCAATTCCATCTCAGTCTTTCTTTGATGAAATGTTCATCTACCTCCAAATGTTTTGTTTTGTCATGAAGATCTGGACTGTGAGCAACTGAAATTGTTGTCTTCTTGTCACAATGAAGGGTTTGAAATCTTTGATTCCTCCAATAACCTCTCGGTACACAATACGTCACACATTCCATCTGAAACTAATCTGAACTTTGCTTCAACATTGGTTCTAGCAATAACACTTTGTTGCTTGCTCTGCCAAGTCACTAAGTTTTCTCCAATAAATGTGCAATAACTACAAAGATGATCTTCCATTTACATAATCCTCCTGCTCAGTCAGCATCAGTGTAAACTTTTAACATGCATGTCCTTTCATTTCTTGCACAACAGTCACCTTTTATAGCCCCATTTACATACCTCAAAATTCTATTTGCAGCTTCAAAATGCTCGTCCAACTGAATCATCAATTGGCTTACAACACGAATTGCAAATGGTATTATGGACAATGCGAAATAAGTAAATTAGTTTTTTTAAAAGTATTGGCTTGGGAGATACATAGATTAGTATTCAAACTTGGCTTGTTAAAGATTTTTGTAAGGCTTTACTGGGGTTTCAACTACCTTACATCCAAGCAGCCATGTTTCACCAAATAAATCAAGTACATATTTACATTGATTAACAAATATTCCCTCTAGTGATTAAGAAAATGTCACTCTGAGGAGATACTTAGAGTCTAGATCTTTGATTTCAAATATCTTTGCAAGTTTGGTTTCTAAATTTCCAATCTGTTCAATGTCATCTCCTGTTTGAATAATTGCTTCCACATATAAATCAAAATGGATTTTCTTCCATTAGTGGAGTGGAGTGGAGTGTTAGTAAAGCACGGGGTGATCTGGCTACCTTTTAGCATAACCCAGACCTTCAACTGTCTTCCCATAGAGTTCAAACCAAGTTCTAGGAGAACGTTTCAGGCCACACATAGACTTTCTTACCGTCAATATTTCCTTCAAAACCATCTGATAGATTCATAGACTTCTTCATCGGAGAAAAGCATACGTAATTTTCAATCAAAGTTCACAAATATATAGTTAGACTCAATAGAGTTTATTCTTGCCACAGGGGTAAATGTCTCTTGATAATTTATCCCATTGGTTTGTGTGAAACATCTGGCCACAAGTCTTGAATTATACCTCTTAATGCTATCATCAATATTCCATTTACCTTACAACCCACACCTTTCTTACCATCCGGCAGATCTACAATCTCCCAAGTACCATTTTTGTTAAAAGAATTCATCTCTTCTCGCTAATTTCCAATTTGAGTCATCTAGGGCTTCCTTATTATTTCTAGGCATAATCAGATTTGAAATCCTGGAGACATAAGCTTTATGATTTTGGGATGTTTTGGCAACTAATTATTTAGCAATGGATGATGAATACATGTTCTTGTCTCTTTTCTAATATCTATTAGAACATCAAGACCAGAAACAAAAAGTGTACTCTGGTTGCTAGGCAATACAGTTGAAATGGGGTTACCTTGAGTTTCCAAAATCTCATTGCTTGAAATTTCTGAATGAATTAGTGTTCAAATGTCAGATATATCATCCTCTTCCCTACCTTTTTTGTCCCTCACTTCATATAAGCATGACGCTCATAGTTTAGTTTACTTTTTCTTCCTCTACTTGTGAAATATATATAGTAGGACAACTTTCTTGATGTATTTCCTATGTAAGTGGATTGAAGACTTCCAAGATTGTGTTAGGGCATAGGATCAATAGAAGGTCTAAAAAAATTCTTCCTTCTATGTTTCCCATGAAGATAATCTCCTGAAAAATAGGGTCTTGTCTCTAGATAGGTTACATCCAAACTTATGAAATATATTTTTATATTGTATTATAACATCTATATCCCTTGTGATTTAAGGATAACCAACAATAACATAATATTTCAGCTCTAAGACCTAGTTTTTTACCTGAGCTGACTAGGAATGTGATAAAAAAACAACGGATCCAAAAATCTTAACCAGTAAATCAAAATAATTTAGAGGCTGAAACAGATTTCTAAGAAATGTTTAAAGGGTGTTATATATTCCAAGATACTTGAGTAAATAGATTCATCTCCCTGTATGATTTCACCATGTTACAAGTTTATTTCAAACATTTGAGATTGTTTACCTATTATCAAACATCAGATTACATTATCCCAATTGTTTGGCCATTGGGTAATACATCTAGTTGGAGCTAATATTCTCCTCCACGGATTTCATGAGCAATGCTATCACCATGTCATTTTCAACATCCCAGACAGCCAGACTGCATGTAGAGGATCTGTAATGTCTGACTCCTATGTGTCAGCCGTACAATACCCATCTTTCCTTGTCCCCATGGGTACATGCATACTAATGCAATTAAGGCTAAAATGGAGAAGGGTATTTTAGTATAATCTCTTTTGTAGTTAGTTAATTGGTTGTTCGGTTGTTAGAAGGTTTTAGTTGGGTAATTCTCTTTGTTGCAAGTATAAATAGCTGATGTATTCAATATATTGTTATATAAGAAAATTCATTCCTCACTCGTTTCTCTCAACTGTAATACATACAGATTGACATCGACACAAGTCATTCAGCTTGATTGGTAATTTGATGGATTTTAGGGTGAGATGGCTCGTAGATAAAGGTCAATGTAAGTGTATTGGTTGGGGAGTGATTTATGACATAATAATGATCTAAAAAGTAGATTTTACTTGAGAAAAAACTCAGCTTTGACAAGATACGGGAATGGGAGCAAAGTTGCAGAGTGACAGATACAATACTGTATATTTTTGTCTATATTTTCCCATTGGTTTGCAATCTTCTATATCCATGAAATGGAAAGCTTATAACCAGTTACAACTCTAATTTTCTCATTTTACCGATTTAGATTGTTATCCAAATCAATTGACAACTAATGCCTGATTATAAACAGAATTTCGGGGAGAAGGAAACTACATACAATCATAGATTTACATCCTCAACATCGTTGAAAAGAGAAACCTGGAAATAGATCTATTGTGCCTAAATCTAAGGGCCATAAACATCCACACACTTTTAGCACTTTCCGTTCTCTTCCTGTCCCATGCAAAACGTACAAAAACTACCTATTCACTTTTAATGTTTAATAAATCCATCATCAAACTAGATGTGCATCAATAACTGAAGCTTCAGGACAAGTCTGTTATATGACCGCACTGGATCAAGTTCCTTCGTCTCCAATGAAAACCTTATTGTACAAGTTGACCACTACGTGATTCATGAGACACTACTCTTATGAACGTTTAATACCCACTCATGACCCATCTCACATAGTAGATTCATACTTGATTCCCTTGATAAAGACAAGTGTGTAGCAGTGTCAAAGTTATTAGTCCGCCTTAACATAAACTTTAAATCATATCAATCTTTGTCGCCACAGACTCAAAGAGATAATAGCCTCATGAACAGAAATACTTGAACACGGCTTCTATATGGTTTCTCAAACTACACCAATTTCAAACAGCACAGATGCATGGCAATAGAAAACAAGGTATTCCCATCTAAAGAGAAGATCCTAGAACTTTCCGGTTGAAGCTTAAAATCGTAAAAAAAGGGTACAAATTTATACTGTAACAACATATTAGGGGTCAGGCAGCAGGTACTATTACTAATTTTGTAGTAATAAATAATTTTGAAGAACCAATATGCTAAACACTAAATACAACTCCAATCCACTGATACGAAGTCATTCCCCATTACATTAAGAAGATGCACTAAAATTAGGGATCGCAACACAATCAGATCAAGAGATTCATCCTCTAAATCAAACAAGTTATCCAATTCAATCAAATAATTACACATCAAACGAACTTACAGTATTGCCAAGAGCAACAACGTTTAGAAATGTGGAACGGCGTTTTGACGATGACGATGAGTTTTCATCAATATCTTCGTCGTTAAGCACAGCCGTAGCCTGCCGCATAGAATCCGAAAGTTGAACCAATTCTTCGATCGCTTCCATTTTTGATCTGGCAACTCAAAAAGGCTAAAAATGGGAAGAGATTGAAGCCAAGCAAAACACAGATCGAGTAATGCCTGAAGATAAACACACAGAATCTAAAGGAGCTGTGAAGGAAACAAAAAACTGAAGATCAAATGAAAAGAAAATCCCTACAAACTTTGATGAAAAGGATGATGGATAAAGTGAGAGATGATGAAATCTTGAGCGTTTCTCCAGGAAACAAGGATTAAGATTTGAAAAACAATATCAAAATTGTTTGAACTGGATAGTGGAGGAGTTGCCTGCACTTTTGGAGTAATATTATTTGTATGTTAACGCTCGGATCACTTCATGAAAAAGTCAAAAATATATGGTTATATATTCTGAAACGGTTATTGTCATTATGGTTTCAATTTATGAACTGAGGTCCAACTCAATCGGCTCTAAAACCCTCCAAATGATTTTGTATCTTAACTCTTTCTTAACCATTTAACGTCTTAAATTTATTGTAAACAATTACCTAACAATTACATTTCGTTCTGCACTATATCATGAGAACATTTTGTATCTTAACTCTTTCTTAACCATTTAACGCCTTAAATTTATTGTAAACAATTACCTAACAATTACATTTCGTTTTGTACTATATCATGAGAACATCTTAATCATTTTACACTAAACCATTCATCAACTACCAAACAGTCTTTAAATTACGGATTTGGAGGTTAAGGTTTTGTCAACTTTTTACGGAGTTGAACTTTTATCTTCATTTATTACAAAAGAATCACCCATCTATGCAGTTTGTAACGGATTTGGTCCCTCGCACTAATGGAATCCACTCCCTGTTAAACTCAAGGGCATTTAGGTCTTTTCACTATAAATCACGATTTTAACAATTACTTTAATTACTTTTTTCTTTTCCTTTGAATCTTCATCTTCTTCGATCTTCACCATGACAATCTAAGATCTTTTTCGATCTTCACCATGCAGTTTCGATCTTCACTAGTTCTTTACAAAGATTATACAAACAATATAAATGAACACTCCTGACTCAAAATCAAGAACAGTAAAACTCAAATGAAAAATCAAGAACAACGAATATTCTAACTGAAAATAAACAAAATAGAACAGATTTATTCACCTCCACCTAAACAAGTCTCCACTAACATAGATTTATTCACCTCTTCCAACAATCTTGAAACTGAACATTACCAGAAAAACTAGAAATGAACTCATCGGACATGGATTTTAAATTTGGTTTCAGCGCCATTTTCAAATGACGGATCTAGTGTGGGGGGGGGGTTTGCTAAGGTTTATAACTCCAAGAAAATGAGTTCTCCGCCATTTGAGATTGGATCTAACCCTTCAGACTATGACATCCTCCTTTTACCATGATAAATGTTAGGAACTAGGGATTAGCGATGATATTAGGACTAGATAAACACTTTGGATCACTGAAAGTTAGCTTTCGGAATACAATAATTCGACCCTTATTGCAATCTCTTTTAAAGATCGTAAAGTTGATATCTTTCTTTTATACCTAGATCCTCGTTCACACATTTATATGAGTGATTGACGGTTACGAGCGATTAAAATAGTTATAGCATAACTACTCAACAATTGTAAATGTTAACGGATAAGATTTAAGGCAGTTACAACTAACTCAGAGTGAGAAGCAAAGGCACGTTGCTTCTTCTGACCAAGATACATAATATAACCTGTAGTTGAAGTATAATGATCTTTGTCACCGCCCCATTCTGCATTGATAAATGCATGTAGTTGCAATGGTGAATTGCAATGAAGCATGAGACTATGATGGGCAGTACCATTTATATATCGAAGTAATCGCTTAAGAGCATTCCAATGATCATTAGTCGGACAATGCATAAATTGTGATAACTTGTTAACTAGAAAGGCAACATCAGGTAGTAAGAGAGAGATATTGAAGGGCGCCAACAAGTGCTCGATATTCGGTGGGTGATGAAACAGGTGGAACTCCAGTAAGGGTAAGTGGCAAAGTAAAGTTCATGGGAGTGCTTACTGATTTTGAACCCAACATGTTAGAACGAGTGAGGATATTCGATATATACTTAGTTTGATTTAAAAATAAACATGTGGGTGTGGGTACAACTTCTACACCAAGGAAGTATGAGGAAGGACCAAGATCCTTGAGCACTATTTAGTGCATTTCTTATTCGATTGTCCATTATATCCCAAGGCAGTAGTTGCATCTCTGCATTAGGCACGTAATTTTTTTTTACTCTTGCAAACCCTTAACCTTTTCACGGTCTCATCCATGTGGGTCATAGATGCCACATATGTGAAATTCCCTTTTATCTCATCATCATTTGGAGTTCTTTCCCCCTTTTAAGGTTGAATAACTTTTTTTTTATTAATATTATATTTAATGGTTATTTTAAAAAGATATTTGTATCAAAATGAAACAAATTGTTAGGGGTATTTGAGATTGTTTATTGAAACAACTTATATTTTTCTACAAAAGTCCTTATCAATTTATTATAACTTAGAATGGTTTAACTTCTTCAAAAACTCTTTATTACCAGTTTGGCACCTGTATAACTTGTTTATCCAAACACTCAAAAATGTTTATTACCGGTGACATAACGGAATAAGTCAATAAGTTATTTCTATAAGCAATCCCAAACACTCCTGAGGGTTGATTCCAAGATAAAAAAATGATGGAATGAAGATTCTTCCCTCTAAAAGTTCATAGAAAGAACACAGATTTGCAGCATCGTCGGAGTTGTGGAGCCTGAGGGGGTGTCGGTTTTTAATGACGGAAGCTTCGTCGAAGTTGCAAAATCGTCGGGTATAGTTGCAGGGGGGAGGTGCCAGACAATGGAGGTGTAGCCACATAGTACAAAGCGGTCGGAGTTGTGGAGGTTAAGAAAGCGGTCGGAGTTGTAGAGGGTTTAGTTTGTTTGGTTTTTTTTTTTTATTTTATTTGTTTAATGTTATTTTAAATATATTACAAATAAAAAATCACTATTCTTATTTAACGAGCAAGTAAATAAAATCTTAAACTATTATTATTTTTAAATTTATTATTTGATGTAAAATATTAGTTATTAAGTATAAAAAGTGTAGGAGGTTATTATTTTAGATACATTTTTTTCAATTCTGAAAATGATATGGAATTCTGTGATACTAAGGTGCTACTAAATGGATGAATTTTATCAACGTCCATAAATGATAAATCATAGATCGAACTGTCGAATCAGAAAAATTGGATGCTATTATATAACTTTGTATCGGCCAAGTTCACGAGTTGGAGATAAGCATACTCGAACCACTGACATCCGCCACAGGGTTTCGTTACGTGATATAGGATCAATGGGGGCAATTACCGTTGTATTGAATGATTCCGTACGGTTGCTTTTTGTTCATATAATGCATACAGTTTTGGTTGTTTGTCGGGCTGGTTTGATGGCCCTGTATGAGATTCACACTTGCTTCATTTTTTTTAAATGGTTTTCTTATGCAATTTATAAAAATAAACGTGTGTTAAAAAAATATACGAAAAGTTTGTTCTAGACCCTAAAATGGTAATTTTGAAAGTTGGTTACCAAAATAAAAATCAACCAAAAGTTGGTTCCATTTTAATGCGATTTTCCTAATTTTTTATTCTAAAATTTGTATTTGTTTATACAAATTCAAATATTTTTAACATTATATATATATATATATATATATTAAATAATAATAAATCAAATTGAAATGTATTAACATATTTTATTATTTATTTATTTTAACATCTGGTTTATATTAATTAACATACTTTATTATTAATAAATTGTTTTAACTATATTATGAAATGTTAAATTTTATTAATTTTTAGACATGTCTTTTTAATCATTTATATTTTCAACTAGTTTATCGGCTAGTTTTTACCAAACACATTTAGTTAATCAACTAACAAGTAAGGGGCCGTTTACCTAAAAACTTACCCGGTAAGCACTTATCGGTAAAATTCAACATTATCGCTTACTTACTGAGCAAGATTTTATTCACTAAAACGCATCGTATAAAACCATTTTATCCCGGTAAGCGCTAACCATGGTAAGAACCGCTATCCTCACTTATTGGGTAAGACTCTCGATTCTTGTCTTTGCTTTTACCGGGTAAGATTCTTAGTCATTGCTATATTCATCCGATAAAGTAAAGTGACTTGATAAGTACTTACTCGGGTAAGCGTTTGGTAAATGACACCTAACTTATCAACCACGAATTAATTTATCAATTATTTCATCAAACATAACCTAAACTAATGTCAAACTATTGGTTTATAAAACTGTTTATTACAAGAATAATGTAAAATGCTCTCTAAAAACTCTTGATAATTTTTATTTTATTTTATAAATTTCAATTTATTTTATTGTTTTCAGATACATCTTAAACAATTAATTAAATAATCTTCTATTGGTTGTGTACCCCGCAATGCGGCGGGATCCATAAATTTTAACGATTTTGAAGTTTCATTAGTTTTATTAGAAAAGATTTAACGATGATATAAGTTACACTTGATTTTTACATATTAATACAATTTGAATAAATAAGAGTTATGGTTCCAATTACAGTCTATCGATGAAAAAAATTGTATGACAATTTAAAATCCAATATATTTAAAATTCAACATATTTAAACGACTCCACAAATGTATTCGATTTACACCAAGAACAAAGATTCAAGAGATCGAGAGCGAGACCGGGAGTTATAGAGCAATTGAATGGAAGATGAATGAGAGAACTTTTAATAATTCATGATGAATATCAGTGTGAATCTCACATTGGAGGATGGGGGGAAGACAGAGGTATGAGAGGGTGAAGGCATGAGTGAAAGGTGTTAAAAAGGTAATAATGTGCATTGGTAACTTGTACTATATGTTACTTTAATTGTAGATTAAGAGATTTTAAGACTGAATGCATAAAGTAATAATATTTAATGCATTATGAGTTATTTTTAAGATTTTGTGCATAAATGTATAGAGTTATAAATCAACCTATATGTCATATATTTTTTTAATCAACCTGGATATGCAACTCGTTATACGCGTCAACCAATCCCAAGACAATTACCTGTTTTGCAGGTAGTTCGGAGTCACCGGATTTAAACTTTCGTGGTCACAAGAGAATCTTTATTCCTCCTTGATTTGACCTGGGACCACAAGATACTTTTAACCTTTATAGCTCAAACTTAAACCAATCAAACAACTCACTTGTAATTTATATTTTTACATAAGTATAACAAATT